GTTGCATAAAAGCACATGCTTTGAAAAAGTGACATAATAACAACAAAAAAAAATGAGTGCCTGATTTTTGCTTTAACACAGCTATTGCAATTTTATGCTGCTAGGGAAAAGAATTAAATGAGAGTTTCTGAATATATTCAAATCTCAATTTCCAATTATAATCATCATTATTATAGCCACCCTCACCATCATAAAACTACACCTAGATTTTTACAAAGCTAAAAAATCCAAACAGTAGAAAAAAAAATAGAATCAATCATAAGGTTATTTTGTCTCTACAATGCCAAACAGATTCAGAAGTGACCAGTGTTCTGTCTATGCTGCCATTATGAGGCAAAGTGCCACATTCATAAATGTGACGATTTAAATAATCAGTATCACTCAGCATCTGTAAGGAGTTTATATTTTTAAAACTTCAAGTTTCAAAAACTCACTTCTCCTTGTAGTATAAAAAGTGTTATTAATTAATAATTACGGATAAGGTTATTTCTGTAAAAATTAAAAGCAGATCCAAAAGACCAACTTTGTTATGGAAAGAAAGTGTTATATAAGGGGTAGCTCCCTATTTAACTCATGATTTAATAAACTTCCAAAAGGCCAAATTTATATCGTTTGTAAGAGCTTCAAGTAGTCCTGGTGGTGAAGTGGTTAAGCATTGGGCTGCTAACTGAAAGGCTGGCGATTTGGAACCCCCAGATGCTCTGTGGGAGAAAGATCTGGCAATCTGCTTCCTTAAAGTTTACAGTATTGAAAACTTTGTGGTGGGGCTGTTCTACTCTGTCCTACAGAGTTGCTGTGAGTTGGAATCGACTTGACAGCGATGGGTTTGGGTTGGTTTATAACAGCTTCAAATATTTAGCATTGTTCAGATTTCAGAAGCCTTTTAAAATGTACTGCTTTCATTCAGGCAACATGATTTCAAGTAGAATATATAAAAATAGTATCTGTCTTCAGAACTGAAATGGCCAGTCTTAAAACAAAGTAACATTTTAATTGGAAACTTAAGTTTCCAGTTAACTTACGTTTTAGAAACCTCTGGAAAGAATTTCCAATAAAATTTTAGTGAAGATGTGAGGATCTCTATGAGAAATAAAATAGGACTGTTTATATTCATTGTGTTGAATTGTTTCTCATGAGGAAAATGTTTTCATATATGTTAAGGAAACTGAAGACAAGTCTTATGTTCTTAAACAGTGACATTTATGATGAATTTTATTTTAGAAGAAAACATCAGATTAATGTTATAAATGACCTAGAAAATGCAAATGGAAATCTACAATATAGCTTAGTTTCTATCAACTTAACTACACCTTAGGTAGCAAAAGAACAACGTTGTCTACTGAAGTCATACTTAATTCAGTAGCTTTGTTTAGATTTAGGAAAGTTTGATTTTCTTAAAATAGAACTAACTTTTTATATTCTGTGTCTTATATAAATTATTGTTTCATATTTTTAAATTGTTATTGGGAAATAACAAGTCAAGAGTGGAAATATTTCCAATCTGTTATGAATCACAGGCCATGATTTAATGTGTCCTTAAAAGAAAGAATATAAAATTCTGATTTGCATATAATCTCAAGTTAGTGTTACTACTATATATATATAAGAAGACTAATGCAGGATGCCCTTTATCACCACTCTTATTCAATATTGTGCTGGAGGTCCTAGCCAGAGCAATTGGGCATCCAAATTGGTAAGGAAGAAGTAAAAGTATTTCTATTTGCAGATGATATGAACTTATACACAGAAAACCCCAAAGAATCCACAAGAAAACTACTGGAACTAATAGAAGATTTCAGCAAAGTATCAGGATATAAGATAAACATACAAAAATCAGTTGGATTCCTCTAAGCCAACAAAGAGAACTTTGAAGAGGAAATCCCCAAATCAATACCAAGAAGATCAATAGCCTCCAAGAAGATAAAATACTTAAGAATAAATCTAACCAGAGATGTAAAAGACCTATACAATGAAAACTACAAGACACTACTGCAAGAAACCAAAAGAGACCTGCATAAGTGGAAAAACATACCTT